AGTTTCCAAATCTAAATATCAACATTTAATAAGATGAATTTTTAAATTTTAAATTAAGTTTTATTTAAATAAAAAACTGTAATTTAGGGTTGAAACTTTAATTTATTTTGACGGTCAAAATTAATATACATTTTTTCATATATATATATGAAATAATGTTTATCCGTCTTATCTCTTAAAAATTAAGAGAAAATTTATCCCAAAATTACGTTATTTCAATAAATTTTCATTGAAAATAACTAAAATATTATGTTTTTAAAAGATGAATTAAAGTATTCTTTTATCATTTTCTATGGTACTTTATTAAAATAACTTAGTTTTAGAATAATTTTCTTTTTAATTTTTAAAAGATAAAACATATAAACACTAATATTATGTGTGTATATATATATAGAGCTTAATTAGTGCTAGATATCACACATACCATATAAATCTACTATTAGCAAACTCGGTAATCATATCTTGTTTATGGTTCATAGCAAATTATAATTAATGGTTTGAGCCCCCTTTTGGACCTTTATGACAAGTGGAACAACATTCTAAATGCTCACTAATTTTATTAAGAGATCCTTTGTATGTGTGTGTATATATATATATCTGCGGTAAATATATATATATATATATATAAATAAATAAAAGAGGATGGGCAAAGGGCAATATCGTAGATTCAAAGAATTTGTCTCCAATTATTATGTCCTTTCTGGGACAGGTTTCCATCCGAACCTCTAAAATCTTGTGCTCAATGAATTTCACTCTTTAAGAGTCACACAGAACACCTGTTTCTTGCTTCCTCCATCACCATGGCAACCCATGAGCGAGATTTCTTAGGTTCCAACCGCATTCAATGCTTCTCAGACGACAACGACGAATCCCAAGAAGAAGAAATGGAAGCACTAGATCAATTAGATGACGAAGATGAAGAAGGAAACAACTCCCCAAAGGATTGCAAGAGTATGTATTACATGTGCGGCCGTGGACGACGGAGAGGGTGGTCGCTGGGGCAGGTTTTGGATCCAAGGGCCAAATGGGTTCAGGAATGGAACAGGGTATTCCTCCTGGTCTGCGCCACCGGCCTCTTCGTGGATCCGCTCTTCTTCTACGCCCTCTCCATAAGCGGCCCCTGTTTGTGCCTGTACATCGATGGTTGGTTCGCCATCACCATAACAGCCCTCCGCTGCATGACAGACGCCTTGCACGTCTGGAACATGTGGCTTCAGCTCAAGATGGCCAAGCGACTGTATTCCTACAACGCCGCCGTGGCAGCCACAAAAGATGAAAACGAAGAAGGAGGTGATGGTGGTGGCGGCGGGCCGCACACTGCTACCACTGTGCGCCGCGTGGCGGTACGCTACTTGAAGGCCTGGAAGGGATTCTTCTTTGATATCTTCGTCATCCTTCCCTTACCCCAGGTAATAAATTACTCTCACCGGTTTATTTTACTTGTATAATTTTTATTTGTTTACAAGATTATAAAAAAAATGTTTAACTTGAGGTTTAGAACACAAGTTTATATTGACTACTAAATTCAAACACGTTTCTTTTTTTTTCTTTTTTTTTTTTTAAGTATGACAAACAAAATAGAACAAATGGAGTAACAAACATAAAATAGACTGTGAATAAAAATGGTTATATTTCTTTCATAATCCTATGAATGTAAACAGATGGTGAATAGATATATATACATACATATATATATATATATGGGGCGAATTTTTTCTTTCTATGGACATTTATTCCACCCACATATCTTATGAATGTGGTATAATATATGAACAAAATAATTTTTTTAGTTGATCAAATTAAGTTAATTATTAATTTAAATACGTAATAAAAAGATGAACACTCTTTATCCAATGATCATCCCAACACTTTGCTTAATTGAATGAAGATATTAAAAACAAATATTACTTTGATAGTAAATTTTATTTTTAAAAATCCGTCTATTCATAATATCATGTACTCAATCCATCAAATTTCAGTAAATGTATTGACAACAATATCGCGGGTCCAAAAGACACTCGTACCACAAAATGTATTTCATACCATAACGTTATAATATTTACTTAAATTGACCAGACACAACTGCATTTATCATTCAGCGACAAGGCAGTGAGATTCATACATGGTGACAGCCTTAAATCAATGACAATTTATTTAAATCTTAATGCATAATTAAGCTTTAAATTGACAATGATTGATTTTTATCTATATGCACAGATAGTGCTGTGGGTGATAATTCCATCTATGTTGAAGAAAGGATCGGTAACACTGGTGATGACAGTCTTCCTCATCATGTTTCTCTTCCAATACCTCCCAAAGATCTACCACTCCGTTTGCCTCCTCCGCCGCATGCAGAACCTCTCCGGCTACATTTTCGGTACTGTTTGGTGGGGTATTTTCCTCAACCTCATTGCATACTTTGTAGCATCCCATGTAAGTCACTCTTCTTCCTTGATACATATTAAGTTTATATGATAAAGTTAGTTAATAAAGAAAGTTAAATTTAAGTAACATTAAAAAGAACTTAATAAAAACTCAATAATTTTTTATTTTAAATTATATAATAAAAATAATTTTTTTATCATATATATAATTAATTTAGATAAGAAGAGAAAAGAGCACATTAATTAAAACTCTGCTTTCTCGTGAGAAAGTACAAGAACATCACATCAAGTATTGTCCTAGAGACATCATTATATGCCTAAATGGAGGACAGGGAAATTATTATATGCTTAAATGGAGGACAGGGAAAAGACAAGGCGTGAGTATTTTGTTTTGAGCAGTATACAATTTAGGGATGAGAGAAGGAAGTTTTTATAACAATGGTAAATCTCGAAATTTTAACCATCACATTTAAACACTTTAATATTTGGGGACTGAACTATTAAATTTAAATATCCTATTCAAAGCGAGAGTATTTTATCTGAAGAGACCAGAGTGAAAGAGTGCAAGAAAAGTTCCGTAATTGTAAAACACATGTGGGTGGTCATAGTTACACCTAATAAATAATAAAATAAAAACTTCATTTAGACTTAGGTAGCCTAGCTAGAACATCAGTGTCTACAACATATATACGTTATAGTTATTTAATATGGAAGCTCAGATTCATGATTAAGTGATGATGGTGAAAGTATATATAAATTAATATGTGGAGAAAGCATATACTATATTAATTAATATGTAAAAATAATTGACTATGCAATCATTAATCATGGGTCCATTTTCTAAGACTTTCTTTTCTCTGATGTCTTCCTCAATAGCTTGTCCATTCATCTTCTTTGTTCTATGTGAAAGCCAAGGCAACAGAATTAAGTGGTAAAAACTAAAGCAACACACATGATGATGTCGAGGGAAAATTCTATAGAACATGAAACTGCAAGCTGAGTCCACAGCTTTTCAAGTGCTTTTTATAATTTGTAGGCAGCAGGAGCATGTTGGTACCTGATGGGGATCCAAAGGTCTGCAAAATGCCTGAAAGAACAATGCAGACAGATAGAAGCTTGTGACCTGAGGACATTGGCTTGTAAAGAGCCTATTTATTATGGAACAACACACGTGATGAGGGAGAGACCAAGGCTGGCATGGGCAGAGAACAAGCAAGTCAGGATGACATGCATAGAGTCTGCTGATAACTATGAATATGGAGCATACAAGTGGACTGTTCAGCTTGTTACTAATGAAAGCCGCCTTGAGAAGATCCTCTTCCCCATCTTTTGGGGCCTAATGACTCTCAGGTACTATATATCTATATCATTCACAAATTTGACAACAATAATTCCACTTATCTTGTAGCTGCTTCAATTATGTGATTGAATCGTCAGCACCTTTGGGAACTTGGAGAGCACAACAGAATGGTTGGAAGTAGTTTTCAATATCATTGTTCTTACTAGTGGGCTGCTTTTGGTCACTATGTTGATTGGAAATATCAAGGTAAGACCAACGCTCTGTTCCATTCTGCTTTTTATTTCTGCATTGTTCTTAATTACTTTAAACATATGATTGTGATAGGGTCAGATTCACTTACATGTGTGCAAATCTTACATAAACATAAATTTGATTTCCAAATTGAAAAACTGAAAACAATGATACTGTATTTAGTTACATATCTCGAACCATTAGACTGGAAATCAATGGCTGTTAATACATGTAAAACTTACACATGTATAAGTAGATTCTAACTCAGTTATAATTATCAAAGAAAGAAAGGTTGCATAACTAAAACAACTTTGTGTGGTACAACCTCACAGCTGAAATCATCAACTAGACTTAAGGGATGATAATCCTAATCTATCTAGACTCTAGGTGCAATAAGTTGTGTCTTTAACGGTAAAAAACAAAACGATGATGGAAAAAGTTAGACGCAGCAGAAGATCCCACATGATGTTGGTTTTGACTAAAGCGTGAACTCCAAGCAATCACTCCTGTGGAACCCATAGCTTGATTCTATGATATTTGATGATGTTGAACAAAAATCATGATACCCTTTTAAATATTTTTCTTGCACTGACAAAACATAAAAGCATGCAAAGACAAAATATTGCAAATCGCAAAAGAGTTCCCTGTCAAAACAGGAACCACTAGATGCATAGAGCCAGAGACAGCTCTAAATATCAGGGACCCTCCCCATGATTTATGTTGCGTAATCCCGGTTTGATCACAAAAATTTACTATGGTCCCATCTTAAAATTCTTCACTTTTCTAAGTTAAAAGGAAAATAAAGAAAAATATTGCTTTTTGAATGCAAGAAGTAATGTGGGGTTTTATTTGTTTTGGTGGGGAAAAGGTGTTCCTGCATGCAACAACGTCAAAGAAACAAGCAATGCAATTGAAGATGAGGAATATAGAGTGGTGGATGAGAAAAAGACAGTTGCCTCAAGGGTTCCGGCAGCGAGTGCGGAACTACGAGCGGCAGAAATGGGCGGCGATGCGCGGCGTCGACGAGTGTGAGATGATCAGGAACCTCCCGGAAGGGCTGCGGAGGGACATCAAGTACCATCTCTGTTTGGATTTAGTGAGACAGGTACAAACAAAATTGCATATGGATAAAACGTTACAGTAGTAAAAGGGCCTGAGCCCAACAAATGCTCCCCAACCCATTTTGATATCAAAACTGACCCAACAGAACTTGAAGCAGTCTCCCACTATGGGCTCTTGGGCTAGAACAGATATATGCTGCCCAATGTTCCAACTTCCTCTAGCTTGGGCCTTGGGTTAGAACTAACGATCTGATTTCTGATATGCATTTTAGGTACCACTATTCCAACACATGGACGATTTGGTCCTAGAAAATATATGTGACCGGGTTAAGTCCCTCATTTTCACCAAGGGAGAAACTGTAAGTCTCAATCTTCGTTTAATGGATTACAAGAAATACAAAATCTTGGAATTGGGTTCCAATTTTTCCATGGCTTAATGATGTAGATAACTAGAGAAGGTGACCCAGTACAAAGGATGCTGTTTGTAGTAAGGGGACATCTCCAGAGCAGCCAAGTTCTCCGAGATGGTGTGAAGAGTTGCTGCATGCTAGGCCCTGGAAATTTCAGTGGAGATGAGCTCCTCTCATGGTGCCTGAGAAGACCCTTCATCGAGAGGTTGCCGCCTTCTTCATCCACCCTGGTCACTCTTGAAACCACAGAGGCATTTGGCCTGGAAGCGGACGACGTTAAGTATGTAACGCAACATTTCCGGTACACATTTGTCAATGAAAAAGTGAAGAGGAGTGCAAGATACTATTCACCTGGATGGAGGACTTGGGCAGCTGTGGCAATCCAGCTGGCCTGGAGGAGGTATAAGCATCGCCTTACTCTTACTTCACTGTCATTTATCAGGCCCCGGAGACCTCTGTCCAGGAGCAATTCACTTGGTGAGGACAGGCTCAGGCTTTATACAGCTATGTTAACTTCACCAAAGCCAAATCAAGATGATTTTGACTTTTGAGAGAACTCAAAAGCTGTATCGAATTGAGGATCGTATATATGAATCCGTTTTGTTCCATTGCTTATGTCAAGCCGAAATGGTAATAAAATTAAAATTTTATGTAATATTATATATATTTATTTGTTTAATAAAATATAATAATTATAAATTTACAATCAAGATTACAAAAATATGAAGCGGTAGTTGGTGGTTACCCATAACCTACAGTCTAGGTGGTTTTTTTCTTTAATAAACTTTTTTGATATAATTCTAAGAAATTAA